CCATGCCAGGTGATATACTATCCCTCACCTCTGATCTTCCAGTGTGGGCTGGATTTTCATTCCTCAGCTGGAGAGGAGCTTGTGTAATTTGTTCAAGGTCAGCCAGGGAATGGTTGGGTAGGTAGGCTAGAAGGCAATGGAGGGGAACCAGGATTTTTGTCTCCTCATATGACTTGCTGGTCTTTCTCAAAGTCATCAGTGGCTGCTGACAGGTCTGCTCAGTCCAGCTTTGCTCACCTTTATGCTTCCCACTCACCTGTAGGAATGAAGGGCCCAGGCAGTGTCCTGAAGCCATCATCCAAGCAGGAAAACCTCTGACCCCAGTCTTCCCTGGGCTCCTTTTGATTTCTTTCTGTACAGGGCTGGCCACCCCACCCATGTCAGACTGTACCTTCTTCATGCTCAACCTCTAGAGGCTGGGTTTTTTGTTTTTTTCTTTTTTATTAGGATTTGGGTGAAGATTTACAGAGTAAATTCACTTTTCATACAGCAGTTCACATATACTTTGTCTCATGTCATTGACCAAAATTTACAATGCAGCAGCTCCCCTCCCACTTCCTCCCCATAGTTACCTCCTCCCAGTGTCCATCCCTCCATACTCTTCTGCACCCTGAGCTATCTCCCTGTGCATAAGCAGCCCTTCCTTCTCCCATGATTGTTCTCTTCAGGGCGTGTGTCTACTTGAGGTAAATGTTTAACTCACATGCCTGTACTTTGTTTGGCTGGAAACCACAGTTGTGGGTTCAATTCCAGACCTGAAGGGCAGCTAGGGGCCATAGTTTCAGTGGTTACACCAGGCTCTATTGGACCAGCAAACCTGGTCCCCACCTTCTTTTTTTTTTTTGCCTCCAAATGATTTTGAGTTTTGTACCACATTGTTCTCCCTCTTTATGCAGGATCTCCTACATCCCTTCCAAGTGTATGGCAGTGGTAGCTGGGCACCATCTAGTTCTTCTGGTCTCATAGTTGTATAGGTTGCAGATCGGATGGTGTACCAGTCGCTAGGACTGATTGTTTCCATTAATTTTGGTTTTCTTCTTTCTTCTTGACGAGGAGAGACCCGTTGTTGCATCTAGATGGCAGCTTCCTAGCTTTTAAGGTCCCAGTCGCTACTCGCCAAAGTAGTAGGTGGAACAATGTTTTGTATAGTATGTTATTAGAGGCTGGGTTTTGAAAGCACATGGATTGGATGCTGCAGAGACAGCTGTGTGTCTGTAAGTGCACACAGGTTGAGCAAGCTGGACAGATCCGTATGCGAGGAGGGGTCAGGGCAAAGGTTCAACTTGCAAGTCAGAGCCCTCAGGGTGTTAAGTGAGAAAGCAGAATGCCCAGTTCTCTTCCCTTCAGCCCTGGCTTGACAAAACGCAAATAGGAGTCCAAATGTTGGGAGGAAATTCACCAAAGGGCTCAGTGACTGTGAGGATGAGGGGTAAGCATTGTGGTGAAATGATTTCTACTGCAGTTGTGTTTGAAGTGAGTACTGAGAACTCTCTAAACACATGCATTTTCTGGGGGCTGTTTGTCATTGTAAGGGGCTGTGGTGGTACAATGGTTAAAGCACTTGGCTTCTAACCAAAAGATCAGCGGTTTGAACTCACTAGCCCCCTGTTGTGGGGGAAAAAAAATAGATCGTCTGCTTCTGTAAAGATTTACAGCCTTGGAAACCCTATGGAGTAGTTCCACTCTGTTTTGTAGGGTCACTGTGAGTCAGTGTTGACTCAATGGCAATGGGTTTGGAGGTTTTTGTTTGTAGTTGTATGAAAGCTGAGCTTCCTGGGAGAGGCAGCACTGTTCCAGGCTTTTGCTCAGTTCAGTCAGGTAAATGCAGCAGGAGATGGGGAGGGGGAGCTGCTGTGAGACAGGTGGGGAATAAGGGAACAGGTCAAAGTCCCACCAACAGTGGGAGGGGAAGCTATGGTCAACTGCACAGCAATTGGCATGTGGGGGGTGGGGGGAGGTTTTAGTGAAGAGGTGTCATCCTGTTGTTCTTGGTGGGTGGTACCTTAGGTCTGGGAGTGGATTTGACTTGAGTCAGCCGGTGGTTCCTTTGCATCACCTCTGCCAGGCACTGTGCTGGGGAGGAGACTTATCTGAGGACTCCAGAACAGGGGTGATTTTGTTCCATTGTCTCTGTTTAAGGAGACAGGGAAGGTGATGCACAAATGAGAAAGCTAGCATTCAGAATGGCTACAATGAAGTGTTGTCACTTAAGGATGTGTTTTTATTAACTGACAAGTTCACGTATGTACAGCTGGTACAAAGTAAGTGAGATATTGTGGGACCTCGTTGTTCATGGTAAGCTCACTACCCTTCAAGGAAGGGAGCCTGGCCCCAAGGAGAGCCTGGCCTTGTCCAGGGTCCTGCTTCCTCTTCTGCACCCTGCCACATCATCTCCCTTATCCTGGGATGGTAATCTCTTTAGTGGCCACATTCTTTAGGCTGACATTTGCTGTGGGTGGAGTGTTTTTTGACAGGTGGTTTGCTTGTTGGGTTTTAGGGATTAGTGGTGAGAGAAAACATTTGGGGAACGTTAAAGATGAGTGGTCTGTACACTTCTCTCAGGGAGGAGACCAGTCCAAATGTGAGGGATGCTTGTGTCTTGGGAGGCTGATCCTGGAGCATCAGTTCTGTGGAGCCAGGGGAGGGTAGCTGGAAAAACCCTGCCCCTGAGCTACAAGGAGGTCTTAGCTGATGCAGAGATACTGCCGTTGGACTGCTCCTCCCCAAGGCTGACTGAGTGTGTGGTTCAGCTGGGAATGAGGCAGCCCTGAAGAGAGAATGCCCAGTTCACTGAGGCCTTGTTAATGCTGGCAGGGATGGAGAATGTTCTGAGCCCTTTGAAGTATTCTGTGGCTCTCCTTAGGGGCTGCATTACCTGAGCCACCTTTACTTCAGTGCAGGAGTGTTTCATTTTGGCTTCTGGGAGGAGACCCGGTCCATCACTGGCTGTGGCATCTTCTATTAGGCAGGGAGCATTGCTCAAGGACCTGGAGGATGGTTTTCTGGCCCCTGGAGTGGGTGTGCCTGTGGGCCTTGCTCAGGGAAGGAGTGAGTTTGTTGAATGAATGAAATCTGAACCATATGGAAAATATGTTACCTTGGAAAGTTCTGATTTCTGTTCAGTGCATTGTCTTAGTAGCTCTGTGAATGCTGCTGCAGTGAAGTACAGCTTGGACTTGAAAGAGCCAGTGGGAGTGCCTGAAACTGATCTTCCCAATTTTCTCTGCCTTGCCCCTAATCTGGGCACTGAACTTTGGTTGGGTAGGCAACAGGCTGAACCATCACCCACAGTGCCAGGCTGACGGTATGCAAGAAATAACAACAGCAGCAAAAATAGGACAGAGTAAACAGCTCACTGGGCTCTCTTCCCTGCTCTGACCCTAAAGCTTCTCGAGTAGAGACAGAATTAGAGAAATATCTGAAAAAGACAATAGAGGATCTGAATGACAACTTTCTGATTTAAGCATTGTGGAAGTGTATACTTATTTCTTTTCCACTCATTTGTTCTGTAGGCTCCCTGTGCTCTCTTTGAACCGAGAGCCTTGGTCAGGAATATGGTTTCCAATTACGATACTATTCCCCTGGGAAAGCTTGAGCTACTTAGCAGTGGACTCCTTTTTATAGAGGGCCTCACACTCTTCAGGAATATGCTCTGCGTGTGTATGTGTGTGTGTGTGCATACATATATATGTATGCAACTTCAGATGGGGAGTGTGAGAGATTCGGTTTGGCAATTTAGGTATATTGTATTTTAAAATAATAAACTTGTCTTCTGGTTAATTGAATTTCTAACTAATTGAGGCTAATGATATTCTGGAGATGGAGAAGTTGTAGGCGATGGCTCTTTCTTTGACCTCCTTTCTGGATGGAGCACATACTGTGCATGTCCCAGATTGGAATTTTAATCCTGTGTACACAGCACATTAAAGCAGAGCTGCCCAGGTCCTTAGGGCAAAGACTGTTTAAATTATCTTCTTTCCTCAAATACCGAGGTGTTTAATAAATGTTTGTCAGTCAACTTAGTGAAAGCAACAGTCCCAAGCAAGCAGTACTTCACTTGATAGTTGATTTTAAAGCAAAATCATACTGAAGTGCAGTAAATTTTGTTTGAAATAAAATGAATTAATTTTTTTTAGGAGAATATGGTTGCATTTCCAGGAGCCCTGTAACACAGTGGTTAAAGCATTTGGCTGCTAACCAAAAGGCCAGTGGTTCAAACCCACCAGCCATTGTGGGAGGAAGATGAAGCAGTCTGCTTTGGTAGTGATTTATAACCTTGGAAACCCTATGGGCCAGTTCTACTCTGTCCTATAGTGTTATTATGAGTTGGAAACAACTCTACGGCAGTGGGTTTAGTTTTGGGTTTGGTGATTGCATTTCCCTTCTATGTAAAGAGTTTCCTAACTGGCTAGTTAGGTGTTACTGTATTTTCTGTGAGGCATATACTCCAAAAATGCAAAAATTTTGTGAAAAATTGAGCCCTTTCTGGTATAGGAGGTACTCCTTAAATATTTGTTGAATGAATGAAATCTGAACCATATGGAAAATATGTTACCTTGGAAAGTTCTGATTTCTGTTCAGTACATTTAATGTCTTAGTAGCCAACATTTTGTAAGAAGATATATTTTATTGGCAAGAGTCCTGAAATTCAGTAAAGGAGCTGACTCATGGGAATTGAGTCTTGACAGTTAATTCATTCAGCAAATATTTATTGGCTTCTACTATGTTCTAGGCCTTGTGCTCAGTCCAGGGGATGCCAAGAAGAGGTCTGAAGGCAGGCTGACCCACTGTCAACAAAGACTTGGTGGACATCAGTGTCTAACCACAAAAAAAAGCTCTAGACCTCAGTCTCTGCCCACAGCTGGGAGGAGACGGTACCTGGCATTCTTAGTGCCACATGATTTTTATTAGCTTTTAATGCTATCTAATAATTTTTATTGATGGAAAACTAATTTCTACAATTGCAAATTGTATTTATTCTGGTGGTTCTCTTATTGTAGTAGAAGATGGCTGTGCCGCCCACGTATGTTGACCTTGGCAAATCTGCTAGGGATGTCTTCACCAAGGGCTATGGTAAGTGTTACAGGGAGTGGCGTTTCAGGTCACAGACTGGGCTGGCACAGTGGGTAGGATTTTACCTATAACAGCTGGGGAGACCTCGTTCAGTCAACTGCTCAGAACTTTCATGTCAGGGAGCAAAGATAAGCTTCTTGTGACAAGTGAAGCACTTTTGGTTGTGCACCCAGTTGGGGCAGGCCCGTGAATTGCTGCGGATAAGTAGACATTCCTGTTTTCCCCCACATGTGGAGCAGCTCTGTGAGTGCTGCTGCAGTGAAGTACAGCTTCTAAATTTAGCCCATCCTCATGCACATGCTCAGGAGGTGCGGGGACTGTGTTTCTGCCAGTTGTCAGGCACCTTCTTTTCCAACCCCACTGGGAGTGCAGGTGGGGCCTGTGCCCATCCTGTCTGCTACGTGCCATGGCAGCTGAGCTCCACACAGAGACAGGCAGCCGCATAGACGGGGTGTCCTCAGCCCATGTGGGCACGTGCTTCCCCTTAAAAAAGAACCATTTTGAAATGCCTTAAGGGAGGCGGAGATGCTATTCTCAAGTTAGTTTTTTAACTTATTAATAGCTGTCTTCTTTCTTGCAGGATTTGGTTTAATAAAACTTGATTTGAAAACAAAATCTGAAAACGGACTGGTAAGTTGTTCAACATGCCTGGAGCATGGACACTCTTTGGAAGTCAACAGACAGGAAGCTTTTTGTGTTAGTTTGTGGTTGTTACACTCCCTGCATCCTCTGTGGGATGAGTGGTCCAAGGAAGCTATACCAGTAGGCCCCCTAACTCCAACAGCTGATTAACTCACAGGAAAATGGAGGCGAGCCTCAATTTTAGTTTTCCTGTGTTTTTTTTTTTCCTCTCCTTTATTTATTTTTTGTTGTAGTTTGGGTGAAAGTTTACAGAGCAAATTAGTTTTCCATTCAGCAGTTTATACGTGTTGTTTTGTGACGTTGGTTGCAATTTCTTCAGTGTAACAGCACTCCTCTCACTTGCTCCCTGGGTTCCCTGTTTCCATTTGTCCTACTTTCTTGCCTTTTCAGTTTTGTTTTTGGGCAAATACTCCCCTTTTGGTCTCATGGTTGATTGTACTGAGGAGTACATTCCTCCCTAGTGTTATTATTTACTTTATAGGCCTGTTTATTGTTTGGCTGAAAGTTGATCCCTCAGGGTGGGTTCGGTTTCAGGCTTGAAGGGTGTATAAGGGCCACAGCCTCAGGGGTTCCACCAGTCTCTATCAATATCTCTGATATTTTTCATGATTTTGAATTTTGTCCTACATTTTTTATTTTCCCCTCCCTCTCTGTCCAGGACCTTCTATTGTGAGCCTGATCAGAGTGGTTGGTAGTGGTAGCTGGGCACCACCTACTTCCTCTGGTCTCAGGGTAATGGAGGCTGTGGTCCGTGTGATCTATTAGTCCTTTGGAGTTTTCCTGTGTTTCTTATTTTTAAAATGATCTGTGTTCAGGGCCATGTCATTATTTTTATTTTTCAAATCTTTTTTTTTTTTTTTTTCCATGAAAATGTATGTAGCAAAACGTACACCAGTTCAACAATTTCTACATGTACAATTCAGTAATATTGATTACATTCTTTAAGTTGTGCAACTATTCTTGGTGTCCCTTTCCAAATTATTCCACCACCCTTGTGATAATGATTAAATTTTAATAGTCTCTTTTAGATTGTACATGTGGTAATTGTTGGAAGGAAGAAGTTTTGAGGTTGAATACTGCAGTGTCAGTTTTAGTTCAGTGCTTTTTCCTTGTATGAGGCTACAGGCAGGATTGGGGCTGAGAGGTCTTCCTGTCCAGTTAAAGGATTATGGGGAAGGAAGGAAGTCATCTCCGGATAGAGATTTCTTCATATGGTTCCTTTAAATAGCAAGTTCCTTTACCTCCATCTGTACTTTAAATATCTAATTGAAGCATAGAATTAGCTCTTGCCTGCATACATCCAGAGTCTCACCTTTTGCATAAAGGAGAGCACAGTCTGTTTAAGGATGGAGTGATGCAAAGTGAAGTGCTGGCATGCAGGCTGTGACTTTCTCTCCCCTTTAAAGGAATTTACAAGCTCAGGCTCAGCCAACACTGAGACCAGCAAAGTGACAGGCAGTCTGGAAACCAAGTACAGATGGACTGAATATGGGCTGACATTTACGGAGAAATGGAACACTGACAACACACTAGGCACTGAGATTACCGTGGAAGACCAGGTAATGGTTACCTGTGAAAAGATAAAGATTTATTAGTTCACATCTGCTGGCCTGCCTGTGACTAAAGCTACCGGCAAATTTCTTTTCTGTTCAGCTTGCACACGGACTGAAGCTGACCTTTGACTCATCCTTCTCACCTAACACTGGGTAAGAATTTCATCTCTCTTCTTGGCAAGGGCATTCTGTGATGTTGCATTCAGTGGAAGCCCATTGCGATGCCAGATTGTGGCGATGAGGCCGACGTCACCAAAAAGATGGCCTCCAAAGCCTAGAGATTCAAGGTTTTGATTTGGTCCCAGGAAATATCCACATCTGTCCACTAATAGACTGTATTGTAATGAGAGTTCCTTGATTAATTCATAGATGGAAGTTTATGCTGCAGATGTTTTTGAGTGCCTCCTGTGCTTGGCCCTGTGCCTAGCTGGGGATCTGAGGGCCCAGGCCATGATCACTAGCACTTCCTTCTGTCCTAATGGAGGGAGAAGCCTCTTTCTAATGGAGGATTCAGACCTGTTATCACCAGGGTCTTGAAAGATTCTGTGTTGTCTGCTGGTGTTCTGGCCTCAGCCATGGCAGCTGCAGAACTTGTGGCCCAGAAATGCACCATTTCACACAACTGAGGCTACTGAGGTGTAAGTGGCCGAGACCATAGGGTAGTTGCCAGTCCCGTGTTTCATTTAAGGGCGGGGTGATGCAAAGTGAAGTGCTGGCATGCAGGCTGTGCTCTTTTCACATCTTACGTAGGGAAACTGAGACCATGTGGTTAAACTGCATGGTGGTTCCTCAGGTGCACTCTCTGCTCCAGGCCCTTGTAACCACAGAGTAGGATAGATGGTTGTTACAATGACAGGAGGTAAGAGGACGACATGTTGATATACCTCAGGTCCTGGAGGCTTTTCAAAATGACTGGCAGGAATCATTCATTCCCTTCTAGAACACTCTTTTTTTTTTCCCACTCAGAGTGGTGGTAGTTCTCCTAAACCTGGATAAGATTGTTTTGCACACTGATGATGGATCAAGGGCATGAACTGAATTTCATGATTTGCTTTTCCATATTACTTCTCTCTTTCCTTCCTTCCTTTTTTTCTCTCCAACATATACTTACTGAAGGAAGGTCTACTGAGTCCAGGCCTTGTATTAGGTGTGGTATGACCATAAGGATCTGGGCAGACAGGGTTCCTGCTTTCTGGGAGGGTAGGGTCTTTGCTTACTTTGGTTATAGATGATCTGAAGACCCTTGGCCAGGAGCTGAATTTACTCTTGTTCTCACCTCTGTAATAGTTTCTCCTGTCAGGAGCATTGTCATCCTGTGTGGCTAGTCCCCTCTCTACCCAGCAACCTGCCATGATGGGAAAAGTTATCCAGAAACACCCTCTAATAGGGTGAGGGACCGGTGGGTAAATGTGCAGTTTGAATCTGCTGCTGCCAGGACTTTGCCTGCTGCCCTGAGATGCCACACTGTGTAAGGGATATCCCTATGAACTTTGACAGGTTTGTAATTTGTAAAGGATTTCCATTAACTTTGACAGGTTTGCAGAATCTCCAGGAATATGCATTGGAGGAAAGTTGTTCCCCCCCACTTAGATTTAATCATTTATTTCGAAATAATTTTATGCTTAAAAAATGTTGCAAAAAAGTCACAATAAAATTAAACAAAAAAGTTGCAAAAACCAAAAATGTACAAAAAAAAAAAGTAGTACATAATATTCCCTTATATCCTTTACCCAGCTACCCCTGATGTTAGCATCTTACATGACTAATATAATTATCAAAAACAGGGAATGAATGCTGATATAATACTGTTAATCGTTTATCCCACGGATGTCATATTTCTATTCCATGATCCATTTTAAGCTCCTATTTTGCATTTAGTTGTCAAGTCTCTTTGTCTCCTCTAATCTGGGACATGTCCTCACTCTTTCACTGTCTTTCATGACCTTGACACTTTTGAAGAATATTGGTCAATTTGGATTTGTGTGGTATTTCCTCATGGTTAAATTCAGAGTATACATCTGTGACAATAGTAATGTTATGCTGTGTCCTTCTTGGTGCAGGATATGAGGAGATATATGTTAATATGCCTCATTACTTACAATATTAACTCTGATTGCTTGCTTAAGATGGTGTCTGCCAGGTTTCTCCACTGTAAAGCTACTATTTTTATCTTTATAATTAACAAGTGTCTAGTGGGGAAGTACTTTGAGACTATGCCAATGTTCCATTTATTATCATACTTTGGCTCACATTAGTATCTATTGATGATTTTTGTCTGCAGCAAATGTATTTGGTGAATGATAATTTTCTATTTCCATCTGTCTTAGTTGTTTCGTGCTGCTGTAACAGGAACACCACAGGTGGATGGCTTAACAAATAGAAATTTATTCTCTCTCAGTTTAGCAGGCTAGAAGTCCAAATTCAGGGTGCCTGCTCTAGTGGAAGGCTTTCTCTCTCTGTTGGCTCTGGAGGAAGGTCCTCATCTCTTTGAGCTTCTGTTCAGCTGTCAGTCTTCATGTGATTTGCCATCTCTCTTCCTCCATCTCTAGGAGGTTCTCAGCACAAGGACCCCAAGTCCAAAGGATGCACTATACTCCTAGCTCTTCTTTCTTGGTGCTATTGAAGTCTCTCTGATCTTTGCTCACTTTGTTTAATCTCTTTGATATCTCAAAAGAGATTGACTCAAAATACAACCTAATCCTGTAGATTGTATCCTGTCCTATTAACATCACTATCTCTAGTCTTTCATCATTAACATTATAGAGGTTAGAATTTATAACACCTGGCGTAGTGCCTAAGGCATCTGACTGCTAACCAGAAAGCTGGTGGTTCAAACCCACCAGCCACTCCCTGGAAGGAAGGTTGGGCAATCTTCTTCTGGAGTGATATCACCTCGGAAACACAAGGAGGGGTCACTATGAGTAGGACCTGCCTTGACGGCAGTGGGTTTTTTTTTTTTTTTTTTAGTGTAATTTTATCAGATCAAAAAAGGGAGGATAATTATGTAATATTGAGAATCATAGCCTAGCCAAGTTGACACATATTTTTTTGGGGGCACAATTCAATCCATAGCACCATAATTTCTTCTACATTTATTTATTGGAAGACCCTTGGCCATTTATTTATTTATTGGAAGGAGCTGTCTCTTTTGTCCTGTTTATGTATTTCATCATTTATATCAGTATGGATTTATAGACTTTTACTCTCTGAGTTATAATCCATTACTACCATTATTTTGTTGCTCAAAATGTCCCAAATCTAGCCAGTGGCAGCTCCTTCATGTTGGCATCCTGTGTGCTTTTGACAAGTCCTCATCATTATTTGATTACTTCCTTATGTCTGATTTGAGAAGATGTACGCAGGTCATCTACACTTGTCCTTTCCAGTCCTGATATCATCCATTTTTCCAAGGAACTCTGGTTCTTTTTATTGGAGAATGATGTTTAGAAACTAGGATTGTGGATGCTAGGTTTACACATTGCAACTGCGTGTTTGAGGAAGTTTTGTGAATCTTGAGGGAGGCTGGCAATGAAAGCTGGCTTTCCAAAGTGACTTCTGATATAGCCTGGAAGAGCATCCTGGCTCCTGGACTGAGCTGAGTGTAGACCATAACTGGGTAAGGCTGACCAAATCTGGGTGAGGCTGTAGACCTCATCTTGGGACCAACACCCACACTGAGTGTCACACTTCAGATAAAACCAACCTAATAACCACAAATCAGTCATGCCTCTTTTGGGTGCTTGTCAAATTAGCACCACTGTTAACAGCTTACATAAAATCCCAGTTCTGTCTGGAAGACATGGTGTGCTGCATTTAAAAGAGCAGAAACCTGGGGAGAAACCTGAGCCATTGCCCTAGCACTGCCCCATGCTCTTGGGAACAGGGCTCTTGGACCCTGGGCCAGAATCCAATAAGATGGTGTATGGAGGCGCCATGTAAAATGTCAGTTGCAGCTGGTATACGCCACCTGTCACAGGCCCTGTCAAACAGCCCAGGGGGGCTGTCAAACCTTGTGGTCAGCAGAAACCTTTTATCTGCCTGATTTGTACATTTCTTGGTCTTTCCCTTCTTTCTAAATGTCAGCCTATGAACAGCTATTTCATCATCCCCCTCACCCCCACCCCAGCTTGGTGCCAGTTGAACGCTTGGGCAAAACCTAGACTCCTTTCCCCAAAGAACAGGTACTCTAAGATAGGCTTATGTGGAGTTTTTCTTACCAGAGAATATTTGTTTAGATGTTAGGCCTTCCCTTTGATGCTTGCCAGGATACACAGAGGAACATGAATGAAATTGAGGCACTTGGGAAGCGTGTTGGCTTTATTTTCAGCTATGATTTCCAAAAGCCTTGTCTCATTGAAGACATGGAAGATATAACCTTTAAATTTTAATTTTCAATTATGGAAGATATCAAGCTTAACAAAACTAAGTATTTAAACCCTCATATGATATCCTATCACCCACATTTAATAATCAACCCATAGCCAGTCTTATTTTCTTTGTACATCTATAGTAATATTTTCCTCCCTCAACCCATTATTATTTTGAGGTAAATAGCAGCACATAATTTCACCTGTAATATTTTAGTACAGTTGGCCCTCTGTATCCATAGCTCCACATATCCAAGCATCCATGGCTCCACATCCACACTTAAGTGGTCAAAGCAGTTCTTCAAAGGCTAAGTGCAGGTGTAAAGTGCTGTTTACATAGCATTTACATTGTATTAGCTATTCTCAAAACTCTCACTGCTGTCAAGTCGGTTTAGACTCAGTGACCCTACCTTGGGTTTCTGAGATGGTATCTCTATGGAAATAGATTGCACTTCTGAGGAGTGGATGGTGGGTTTGAACCTCCAGCCTTCTGGTTAGCAGTCAGATGCCTTAGGCACTATGCCACCAGAGCTCCCATATTAGCTATGAAAAGTAATCTAAAAAAAAAAAAAAAAAAAACCCCCAAACTTACTACCATTGAGTTGATTCCAACTCACAGCCACCTCCATTAGGTTTCTGAGGTGGTAAATCTTTATGGAAGTAGATTGTCCAGTCTTGCTTCTATGGGTTTGAACCACCAACCTGTTTAGCAGTCAGATTTAGAGATAATCTAGAGATTATTTAAAGTATACTGGAGAACATCCGTGGGTTATGTACAAATACTAT